CTAGAGGTGTGCGAATCCGATCCGAATCCGATCCGAATCCGATCCGATCCGATCGGATTCGGATCGGATTCGGACAGTAAATTACTCGGATCGGATCGGATTTCGTTTTGTTTCTGTCGGATCGGATCGGATTTTGCAGGTTTTTGTCGGATCGGTTCGGATTTGATTTTTCTTGTATCACGTCGAATTATTCGAATATTTTTACAAATTGAGAAAGTTCTATATTCTGCAGCTGTATTCCACTTTTTACGTTACAAATGGCATCAGAATTCACAATGGCTTTGAGCATAAAAGTAATTCCATAATCCATATAGTCCATACAAACTACAAACTACAAAGTCAAAGTAACGTTTTGCTCGCACGCGAAATCGCGATTCGCGAATAACGAATGCCATTATGCCACCCAATCTCCCCTCGGGCCTCGGCTATTCAAAAACAGCACAACGTTTCGAGAAAATTCTGCTGCTTTTACGTTACTGTTTCTAAACTTCTACAATCTTCTTAATACTAACAGTTAAATCAAATCAGGTGGGTAAAAGCATGGATTGCATCCATGGTAAAAGCTAAATACTACGTTATATTGTTGTTATGACATTTAAATTTTAAATAGTTTTATTGTGAAAGACTGAAAGTAGAAGTATATGCTACTGTATAAATTTGTACTATGTTGTGTTTTGATTTTTGAAGCATTGAAAAATGAAAAACGGTTAAGGCTAAGAGGGATTTTTTTTAAAGTGTTATAGTCTTTTGCCGTAGCTATCAGTTCTTTGTTTTTGTTTTTAATATTAGTTTATACTTTATACTTTATACGGTTATTTACATCAGGCGGTTGAAACTTGAAACTTAAGTTCTAGTTAGATTGAATTTCATAGCCTAAACTCTAAAGCTAGCTACTAAGCTAGTAAAGGAGAACATTATAAGACTGCCTGCTGAGTGCTTACAATTCTGCTTACACAGCTTGGAAATTGGTAATTTAATAGTTAAAAATACAAATATTTTCACCATTTTTGACAAAAAGATAAATATTCGTGTTACCATGGTTACAGTGATCGAAACAATACTTCATTTTATAATAATTTTGGGGAACATAAGCAAAATTTACTGAGCTTAGTAACTTACGGAACATTATTTTACATATTAACCACTGAACTTTTAAGGCTGTTAAATTAAGCGAGTTTTCCACTAGCGATATTTTTCGCGTGAATTGACTTTATTCTTTTGTCTAAACTCTAAAACTAATTAGTTCCAAAATTCCAAACGACTATTTAGTCGCTTCGCGCGAAATAATTCGCTAGTGGAAAACCGGCTTTAGTTGATTGAGAAATGTATTAAAAAATTACCGAATGCTGCAGTCATTACCAAGTGGTTTTTAATTAATTAATTTATATGCATTTGCTTTGAGCGCGTGTTACAGCACTTCTTTAATCTTTACCACATTCTTTGCTGTAGATGTGCTAATTGATCGTGAAGTAATGTAGTGTTGTAGAGTGAACTGAGCGGAGTGTAAAGTGTAGACTGTACATTGTCAGAGTGTTCATGTAAATAATTTCACTTTCCAAAGTTTGAGTATGGCTGAAGCTCCCGACAGTCCCGAGCAATATAAGCGGCCGGTTCAGCCGGGCCCTAAACTCAAGAAAGATGTGGTTGAAAAACTACTCCGGGAGAAGTCAAATCGTGTCATAATAACACGAGTTGAAGATAGAAAGAAAAGATCCGAGTGTTGGAAATTCTTTGGCTTCCCAAAAGTTGACGGGGTGACTTATGAGGACATGGCAGTTTGTCATAAATGTTTTACTATTTACAAGTATAGCTCGTCGAAAGGGAACGCACAATTGAACAAGCACGTCTGCCCTAAGGACATGTTGAAACGAGTGAAAGGGCAATCAACGCTCGATTTCCTAGACAAGTCGAAAGTTGGCAGTAGTCAAAGCACATCACAAGTGAAGCTCAGCAAACACGATCATCAATCCTTGCAGATTAATGCCATAAACGCCGCAGCTCTCGATTCAAGCCCGCTTTCTCGGTACGAAAAGGAAGGCATGAAGATTATGTTCAGAACGGCAGCAAGGTTTGGGGCACGATACGGAGAAAACTTCGATCTTGCGCAACACATCGTAGATCGGACAAATCTAACCCGCAATTACCTACCGAAACGTCATGAAGAAGTTCGCGCTGATATTCTCAAGTCTTTGAATGGAGATGCATTTTGCACAACAACCGATTTGTGGAAGGAGAAATATACTGGTAAAAGCTACATGTCTGTCACCGTTCATCATATTGACGCTGACTGGAATAACCTTAGCAGCTTTATTTGGTCAACAACCGAATACAACCTTGAGGATCACAGAGCACCTAGTATTTCCAAGTGCTACCTTGAAAACGTTCCTGACGCTCCCTTTCGGCTTGTCACCACAGATAACACCAACACCATGCCAGCAGCATTTCGCCTTCTGGACAGTGATGATCAAATTGGATGCATTTCGCACATAAGCTCGTTGGTTGCTAAAGCCTGCGTCACTTCCGATAAGGCAGCCGAAGTAAAGTTGAATGTGGAAGCAGCTAAGAAATTAGTGGAGCATGTAAAACGGACAGACTTGCAAAGTAAGTTAACGACGACCCTTAAACAAACCATAGCAACTCGATTTTATACCTACCGTGAAATGATTGGGTCTATCATCAACCGCTGGGAAGAACTTGAAAACATTCTTGATGCCAGAAATGAGCTCAAATATTTAGAAGATATAAACAAAATTCTTCTCATACAGACTTCGCGTGTTTTAAAGCCCCTGCATGATTGTGGCCAGGAGCTCGAGAAAGATAAGGAACCAACATTGCATAGGGCACGTTACTGGGAAGCAAAACTTCAGGCCGCTTTTTCAGCTCACGAACAGGACATGACGGCAATAAGAAAGATGAAAGAAGTTGGGAGGAAAGCTCTGTTGACAAAACTAAGCAGTCGACTTAACGTGTACCACGATGTAGCTTCCGCGCTGGACCCAAGAGTGGGCGAACCTACAGATGAAGACAGCCGGCGGAAGATTTGTGAAAAGATCGAGAATGTTCACGATCGTATCACAGGTGTAGATGGCGACGAAACTCGTGATGATAACGACCATTCGCTTTTGTCTGACGGAGAAGACTCAGAAGAGGTAACTAAACACAAATTACCGCTGGATTTCAAGATTTTAATATTGTTATTCTGTAAATATTATCGATATGTTTTGTTGCATTTTTGGAATAACGTTACAAATTTATATTGTTTTCTTATTGTTATTACATAAGGTCTCAGAAATTAAGTCTCCCACTCCGAAAAGGAAGAAGAATCCTTGTGATGAGATCGAAGAACCCGAGTTTGCCTTTTATAAGGAAAAGCAAAAGGTATCATCGATTGTCGACGAATTTCGAAGGTTTACTGGAAACGACTTCGACCTTGACCTGTACGAGGATAAAAACAAGCACCTTGATATTCTGAAGTTCTGGAGGGATCATGCAAGGGGCTACCCGAAATTAGCACTGGTTGCCAGGCTTATTTTGGCTTGCCCAGCTAGCAGCGCTCCATCAGAGAGAAGTTTCTCGCAAGCGGGGTGGACAATCAACCTTAGGCGTACGCGTCTAGCTCCACGTAATCTAAACGCCTTGCTGTGCATCCAAAGCTATATGACAGGAAGTGCCTGGAAGGCTTTGGAGCCAAATGAGCAGACCGATTTGGTCGAAGCGGACTCAGCGGAGTAATAGCTACTATATTATGCCGAGTGCTGATAATAAAGTACCGGGTGTCCCAAAAAAAACTGGACACTGTTTGATATGATATTGCGTATGATTTTACGTTATTGAAATTGTGAAATTGTAAATTATGAAAATGCGTATGATTTTACGTATGATTTTACGTTGTATGAAATCAAACAGTGTCCAGTTTTTTTTTTGAACACCTGGTATAAAAGTGTTTTGAGTTCTTGTGACATATATTTCTAAAAAGAGTTTTGAGTTATTTGGATTTTGGACGTATATTTTTCAGTTACGTACGGGAATTGGATATATAGGAAATTTAGGAATGTTGTGTTTTTTTGTTTGGTTTGTTAGGTTTATGTATCATGAAGCCTGACAATGAGGTTTATTAGTGATAAACTTTAAGATGTTTGAAAATGTAAACCTAGCTCAAGCTCATGATTTATTATACTGAATAAAACATTTTTGACTAGTTGGGTTTTTTTTCTATGCTAATTCTAATAAAATATAAACTGCTGTTACTGTGTACTGTAAATGTGAACGCTATAAGGCATAATTATGTGATATCGCCCTGCAATTTTTATCGGATTCGTATCTGCTTAGTTTTGCTAAAAATTCATTATTTCCAATATATCGTTTATGATCATGAAAAAATACGTTCATAATAATTAACGCACGCTGTACAGCGTACACAACTTAAGTTCGGATCGGATTACGAATTTTAGCATCGGATCGGATCGGATTTTATAAACATTGTTTCGGATTGGATCGGATCGGATTACTTTTTTCATCTTCGGATCGGATCGGATTTGGATTGAGAACTTAGACAAACCATCGGATTGAGAGAGGTCAATCCGATCCGACGCACACCTCTATTTAGTAAGTAACATTGCAAGGAATTGTAAATAGACTCGCATTTTCAAGACTTAACCCTAATAGTATAAAAAGACATGGTGACATATATTTTTGACAAAAAGCGTTAGTGCGGAAGTGTCAGTGTGACAAAGGATTAGCAGAACCACAGTGTTATGTATTGAAATTGGAATAGTGTGTCTGCTAATGAAGATTTTATAGGTTCGCTGATATGATGACTTTTGCGTAAAAGTCTTTTTGTAGAAACAGCAAAAATTCAATAACCGTGTACAAAAAAAAAACCTAATTAGTGGAGGAATGGAAAAAGGAATTCAAGTTTGTATTAGAAAGAAGCCAAATAGTGGCAAGTTAAATTCACAGTCGCAAACTGAGTGGACTGCTCAAGCTAGGGAAGATGCTAGTACACAATGCGGCAGTGAGGGCAAAAGTTATGAGAAATATCGGCGATATAAAACATTTGTTAAGTGGACGTATGATCGTCTTAAAGATGAAATCCTGTGCAATAAAGATATATTGAATATATTGATTAGGTGGCTTATGGATGAAAAAACTAATAGCGATTAAAAGAAAATGCAGCCACTGTAGTCAGATGATGAAATTGGTTATTGCGAGTGACAGATCTGACAGGTTGAAATGGGAATATAAGAAGTAAGCTAACAGGAAGCAACATAAGGTTGAGGTCTCAATTAGAAAAGATAGTTTGGTCAAGAAAAGTAATCTGACGCTTGAAGAGATTGTAAAGTTAACATATTGGTGGTGCAGAGACATGAGCCAAGAAAATATCCGACATGAGGTTAATGTGAGTGAACATACCGCGGTAGATTGGGATAGCTTTTGCCAAGAGACTTGCAAAATGACACTTTTAGAAAGAGAAGATAAGATCGGCGGACAAGGAAAGACTGTTCAAATCGACGAGAGCAAGTTTGGGAAGAGAAAATACCATAGAGGACATAAAGTTGAAGGACAATGGGTATTCCGAGGAATCGAAGAATCCCGCAGAAGTTTTATGGTCACTGTTGAGAAGCGTGACCAGAAAACCTTATTACCATTAATTCACCACCACATAGCCAAGGGTAGTACAATCATCTCAGACTGTTGGAAAGCATATGTGAACCTTGAGAAGCACAGGTATGTGCATAAGTGTGTCAATCACTCAAAAGAATTTGTGAATGCAGATGATGATCATACAAACAAGATCGAAGGTCACTGGCGACAGGCAAAGATGCCTAATTTTGGCGTGCAAAAATCCATGTTCTCATCGCACTTAGCTCTTGTGGCGATACGAACACAAAGGAAAGGACTTGTTTGAAACATTCCTTATAGATTGAAACATTCCTTATAGATTTAAAATTTTTAAAAATGTTGTGTTATTCATACTACTAATGTTGTGCGATAAACCATTATATAATGCATCTTAATTAGAAATTCATTTCAAATAACAGTTAAGAAAATTATTGATCATTTGTGATTTAGGGTTAAGGTAGACTTGTAGTAGGAGATTCTGATATTGTATTAGTCATTTGTGTTTATGACACAGTTATATTTATTTCACATTGCCTAAATTTTACTTGCCTATCCGCACATGAAACCGAAGGTATTTATTACAATTTCGGCCGTCCATTATTGATCGCTTAACTATTTCTGACTGTGTATCTGCGTATCCAGAAAGGTTGTAGCCTGCAGGCAGCACTATAAGCCTTAGATCTGCATGCAGGCAAGAAAACTTGTGGCTACATGATTTAAAGTTATGGGCATTTCCGCTGACCATTTTTGATCGCTTAATTATATAAAATTGACTGTGTATCCACGTATCCGTGTATCCACTAAAGTTTATAGCTACCTGTAACATGAAAATTTTAATCTATTAAGAATAAATATATATTAACAAGTTCTGGCCGTGTATATATCCAGCGAAATATTATATTAACAAGTTCTGACCACATATCCAGTGAAATATTATTTTTATCCAGTGAAATAGTAGCTACATGATATGATGTAACTAGTGGATGGGTATTCTGCAATTTAGCCTAAATTGAAACTAATTTTAAAATTTTGACCATGTAACCGAAATTTAGGGTAGAGAGAGTCCCCTTAACTCTTACACATCACAAGCCACGGCAAGAAATTTCATATCTTAGGTTCAGTGCATGCTATGAAGACAGAAATACCACCATTCAATTCAGAAATAAAAGATTCAACTAATTCCTCCCTATAGTTATAGTCATTATCAACATTGTAGCGATTTATGGGCCTTTGAAAGTCAAACACGATAATATTGTATCAAATTACACAATTGTCTGAACAAAAATATAGACTAGCCATATAGTCTAGGACCTGTATATGAGTTTGTATGCATTTCATGTAGGACAGATAATCTCGACTGTTTTAGGGCAAGTGGACAATGACAGTCGACATGGTAACACTGCCCGAACCCCAATCCGGGGCAAAACCACTCCCAAAAATGACGCTCTCGCCATAGTGCTATCTACCAAACCATAAAAGCTTTGGCTATTCTGAGGTGCTTATATGGCTCAGAGATGGTGCTTTTAGTGGTGGTCATTGGTAAGTGTGAAATGCCTAGTACTGATATGTCACAAGAAAATGACCATGTAATACTCATAGTCAAACGTCAATTTGGGACTTACAAATTCAGATAAACAGCAGTGGACCTACATTACCTTTTTTCCTAATAATAATGTGAAATGTACCTACCTGCAAATGGACGTATTTGGTCAAATTCTCCAATTTACTCTGCTGTTTATTGGCAATCTCGTTGACATCCTTCCAAATATCTACGGCAGCTCAGACATAATGGTATCAAGCACATTTTAAACAAAGTTTTAAATAGGTTTCAAGCAGATCCTAGCTGTTTAACCATCGACAAGGTAAAAAAAACCACGACTTTGTCCAATTCGGCTCCATTTTGTCATCCAATGTCGGTTGTAAACAATTTAGCCTTGTTATTCTTGCATCCAAGCCATTTTCATTCCAATAATAACTAATTGAACCCTTTGTTAAGGGTATCAAAATAAATATGTAAACAAAATAGAAAAAGTGCAGCATTTTATCACCCCGTAAAATGTTGCTTACGATTCTTTCAAAACATTCCGTACAAATCTCACGTGGCAAAGCAACAGGAGGGTGGAGACTTTGAAGATTAAAGCAAAGCAAAAGCACTCAGTAATAGCAGTGTTGTAAGACCAACAATCAACATTTAATTTATAGTACGACATATTCATATTGTCGCTACAAGAAATAAAACAAACGTTTTTATGATTGTATTTAGTTTTTAGTCATTTCACCATTTCACGCAGCCTTCTTCTATCTTTGTGAAAAATTCACCCCCTGTCACAGCCTTGTTGCTTTGCCATGTGACTGCTTTGCCATGTGACAGCTTTGCCAAGCAACATTTTACAGGGTGATAAAATGCTGCATTTTTTCTATTTTGTGTAACAAAACCCTTAACAAAGGGTTCAATTAGTTATTATTGGAATGAAAATGGCTTGGATGTTAGAATAACAAGGCCAAATTGTTTACAACCGACATGAGATGACAAAATGGTGCTGAATTGGACAAAGTTGTGGTTTTACCTTGTCGATCGTTAAACAGCTAGGATCTGCTTGAAACCTATTTATAACTTGTTTAAAATGTGCTTGATACCATTATGTCTGAGCTGCCATACATATTTGGAAGGATGTCAACGAGATTGGCGATAAACAGCGGAGTAAAGTGGAGAATTTGGCCAAATACATCCATTTGCAGGAGGTAGGTACATTTCAAATTATTATTTCGGTCACAAAGTATTAACTATTTTATAGCAAAGCAGTGATAATATACTTAAATAAGTACCAATTATGTTTCTATAAAAAAGATTTAGGAAAAAAGGTAATGTAGGTCCACTGCTGTTTATCTGAATTTGTAAGTCACAAATTGACGTTTGACTATGAGTATTGCATGGTCATTTTCTTGTGAAATATCAGTGCTAGGCATTTCACACTTACCAATGACCACCACTAAAAGCACCATCTCTGAACCATATAGGCACCTCAGAATAGCCAAAGCTTTTATGGTTTGGTAGATAGCACTATGGCAAGAGCATCGTTTTTGGGTGTGGTCAGTTTCAGACGTTTCGCCCCGGATTTGGGGTTCGGGCAGCATTACCATGTCAACCGTCATGGCCAACTTGCCCTAAAACAGTTGAGATTATCTGTCCTAAATTAAATGCATACAAACTCGTATACATACAGGTCCTGGACTAATACCTTTCGCTGAAAATAACTTCGGCCCCTTCAAACATATTGTCTCTGTAATAGTCTTGTTCGAATCCCCATCAAAAACACTATTCAGAGTGTTATTTGCAAGCCTGTATCTTCAAATATGTATCTTTTATCAATATATTTCCATTCCTTGTCCAACTGTGAGTTCGAAGTGAGTTAATCCCAACCCGGAAATACGACTGAAAACTGTCAAAACAATGCGACGTTTGTATTGGATGACCCTGCAAAGGCCAGAAATGGATTCGCAAGGTCAAATGGCACCTACACACGTGTGAGTTTGACGTCATCCTGGCCACAGGAGCTTCTTATTGGCCAATTATTGCGCAATGTACGCAAGTGCGAGTAAAACCCGACACTTGAAAAATTCAAAATAAATATTTCTAGTCGGCGTATACATACGAAACTTTCTACACGAAAGCGCTTGAATACAGAGAGTATTTTACACGTATAGCCGTTCAGCAAATGACGAAAAGTTCAAGGGGTATTCAAGATCTTGTGGATATGAAATTTAGAATCTTTGGCCAAGCGGTGAGTAAATATATGATTGTTTCGGTTTGTGTAATGTTCTGACGGCACTCGACCCCCGTTCGAAAGGTTATTTTGTGAGGATTACAATGGTGGCTTCTATTTAAAAGGGGGTAAGTACTCGCCGAGAGATTTATATTAGAAAAATTGTGTCATAATATGATGCGAAAGGGGGTGGACGTGAAAGAGTTTAAAAGTTGATTAGTGCAAATTTCTATATTTTTACCAATAATAACCCCATGAACTAAAACTTTTATCACTAGTAGTTTTTCGGGTTAAAGGCTATGAGCAACAAAATAAAAGGTTCTTTCATTTGAAATAACTCATCAAATGGTAGTGGAAAATATTCTACAAATCTTTCGTATCTCGCTTTGTTTCTGAGTTATGACAGTGTATTTGATATGCAAATTATGACTTCATCAGCAAATTTTAAAACATTAAAACATCCAGTTATCCCCTAGCCGACGGCGCTTCGCGCCGTGCGAGGGTACTAATTCCCCCCGGCTATTTACACCTGGGGAATCGAAAGCATTAGCGAAGTCTAAAGTTCATCAATCATCGCGGGCGCTGATTACTTGTAGGAGTGGGTAAGCAAGATTTCAAGTTTTAAAAGACATATATTTGGAAAATCGTTTCATATACAACAAGCTTGAAGCAATTTTGTTTGAAGAAATGAGAAGAATTGATTTACTACGGGAAATCTGGAAATATACAGCAAGTTTAATGTTTACAAATTTTGATGCTTTAACTTTTTGCCTAAAAACATGAACTGTCTTCCTTTTCAACGAAGCTCTAAGTTTCATAAATTACCATTTAATTTGAGAAAATATCTTAAAATGTAAAGACGAACAAATTGATTTGAAGACTGAACTGAAATTACCTAACAATTTGTTTTATTTGTATTAAACTTATCATGTTTTGTTAAGTAAAAACAGTTTAACAGCAAAATGTAGTTTACTTGAATGAACATTTCAAAACTTTTTACGAAGCGTTTCAAGTTAAATTTTACATTAAATCAAAGCTCACAAAATGCAAAATAATATACCTACAGTATATATTTCGGAAATTTATTGTTGTATAGTTAATAAAAGTACAAATCTTTCAACTATTTTGCAGTTTTGTAGAAAAAATATGAAAATAAAAATTTAAGAATATCGTGTTGACAACACTTCAGCGCAAGCCTGCGTTCACTGTTGGTCATTTCTGAATACTTCATGTTAAATGTTTGGAAAATATTGGCGAGGGGTTACTGTATGCATGTATTTCTACTACTAGGAGTTACTATCGCAAGGAAAGTGTGGCCTAAACTCAGGGACGCCGGAACTGGGCGGGCAGGAGGAGCAGCCGCCCCCATTGCCCTTTACTAGGAGGGGCAAAGGGGGCAAGTTTTTTAGCCTTATTTCAATACATCAAAATCACCCCGCCTTCCAACATGTAAACAGCCCGTAAGAAGTCTGTTCAGGAAGTAGGAAAAGTATAATTTGAACATCAAACACCTTGCACAAAG